CTAAGAATCACTTTAAAAACTTCCTGCGCCATATGTTTCCTCTTCCTTATTTATATTTGCATTATGTTTAGCTCTTTACACAATTTTTTTGGCTATTCTTGTTTTCTTGTATCCAGACGAACACCTCTTTTTGCATTGGTCTATACGATGTGTATCTTGCCTTTGCCCAATAGATATTGAATATGAATTTATATATTCCAGTTCCATACCTAAAGTATTTAAAACCTCAAATTTGAAATTACTACTTGCTGTGATAACAGCTATGTCGAGTCTGTTTTCAATACAATGTTCTCTGGGGCAGTTCTTCAAATGCATATGTAAACCTCTTTAGTGTTTTGTGTTTCTCACATGTGCCTCTTCCTAAAAATTCATTACTGGCTAATCTTTGATACACTGGCAGTATTTTGGATAAAACATCTAGTGTTAATTTGGTTTTTATTATTGAATGAGATTTAGATTTCTTATATTTGGCAATGCTACTTGGGAAGGGAAAAAGAAAAAAAAAAAAAAAAAAAAAAAAACATATGACACCTATTAGCATTTATAACGTCTGAGTGAGTCATCCGTTGAAGAACAGTGCAACAAACTTGCATAAATTGCGGTCTTCAAATCTTACACGTTTATATCTTACTAACAGTAAAAAGTATTAGTCGCGGAAATAAGTACTTTTAAATGTTTATTTACCTTTTTACTGACATTTAAATGTCACAAAAAAGGTAAACAAGCGTATTCAAATGCTTATAATATCTTTAAAAATAATTTTACACACAAGCGTTTTTTTGTAGACGATAGAGTTAAAACCGTAGAATATTATCATATAAAATTTTCATTTCCCAGTTTTTGGTCGATTTTTGCTAAAATCATCGTCTAATGTCCCCTTAACTCGGCGATCGCCATTTACGGGTGAAAATTTCTATTTTCAAAACGTTTACCGCCGTCAAACTTTGGCCGTCCTTCCGTTCAGGGCAACAAAATTGTCTGTTCGACCGTTTAGCCATATCCTGATGTAAGTGTACTTTATGCTATTCTCCTACTCTCAAACTTCACCGGGAATTTAAACAGTTGTTCTAACGTGCTTGAGTTCCACAATTCCATAAAGTCCTGAATTTTCGACAGTAATATAGGCAGTATAATTTGGATAACCTCTGCATCGGGTTTTTTTTTTCCATACAATAAATTTACCAGTTGTATTTTTCTCAATATAAACTCAGTCAGTTCTTCGACCTTAGTGTGGCATATACTAAACAATTCCGTCTGTAATTTCGCCCTGTCTTTGACGACGGAAAATGCTTTTATAGGATTGGCTTTAAACACTTCCAACTCGGTTAAGTTTCACTGCCTGGTTCTATTAATAGACTACATTTACCGATACATTTGTACCAGCTCATTGCCTGTCCTCGCATTGCGATGGTTGCTATACTGACTTTCCGCTCTTCTGCAATTGGTTTAAAGCAAAAAAATGTAAAAGATCAAAAAGCAAAAAGATCACTATGGAACTTCTGCCATAGAAAGACACTGCAGATTTCATCAACTCTCGCATCTTATTCACGATGAACCTAAAACGTTTCGTGCGTATGTGTGTGATTATGGCAAAGCCTCGAGGGCTATCTGCCTAAAGGGAGGGATGCCTTTCGTGGAGGACTTTCTAAGGGAAACTGGCTCGTATGGTTCTGCCCCTCAAAGCTCTCAGCTCTGTCTTACCACCTGAAAACCTCAGCTTAAATACTCTCAAACTAATTTGTATTCTGGTCAGGAAACAGAAGGGGAGTGACAGGAAAGAACTAAATCATAAACTAACTGGTTCTGTAAAATAATAATAACCTTACGCAGTTTTAAAATTTGCATCAGAAATAGTTATTAAATGCATAATTTTTAATGCATCACTTTTGAGACTGTTGTTTAAATATTATACCTTCATAGCATTATAAATAATTTTATTTTCATGGATACTTGAAGTAAAGAACTTTTTTTTTTTTTTTAAATTTTTATTATTATTTATTTCTAGCTGTTCTAGCATATTTCTTTTATTCTTCACTTTTTCTATCTTAAGGCTCCATTAGCCACATGTTTATATATATGCAATTATGCCATAATAATGCAAAATAAATAAATGAAACAGAGTCACGAATTAGGAACTTTGTACTCCTAGTAGCAGTTCATTGATGCATTAGCCCACCAGCGGCCGAGCGGTAAAGTCGCTGAACACTGGTAGTTCGGTCCGAGGTTCGAATCCCGCGAATGGGCTGGCTGCATGGGCGTTTCGTGGTTTCCCCATGTTAACGTGTATACGAGCCAGTTTCCCTTAGAAAGTCCTCCACGAAGGCATCCCTCCTCTCAGGCAGATAGCCCTTGAGGCTTTGACATACTCACACACACACACACACATTGATGCATTATTCAAAGCACAGAGTATCCAAGAGATAACAACTATTCACATTTTAATACCAATGAATCTCAGAGTCTACCCAATCACAAAACATAAGGAAATAACATATCACTCAAGGCATCCACAGGTCATTGGTTATTTAATATTCTACATTAAATACTCTAACACTAATTTAAAGCCACTGCTTTCACAGTAACAAGCAACTTCCACACTGTCCAACTCATTCTACAATAAAGGATGTTTGGAGTGTCTTGAAGATTTCAGGGATGTAAAAGTGCAATATGCCGATTCAGTAACAAAATAACTGAAAAACTATATTTGCCTAAAAAAGGGAACAAAAGATTTTTGAGGAAGGATCTTTCATTTCTAACAGCTGAGGTAAGAAATTGAATTGGCTCTAAAATTTTTTTTAATTATTTTTACTTGTAATGAGCTAATATGCATGACTTCTCAAGGTTCTCTTTAATTAGTGCTAAATAAAAGCTGGTAAGGAACCTCAAACATATCATTTAATTAATTTTTTATAAAATATTTGCAAATCTACCCCATATATATTCATATTCAATTTTTAATACTGTTATGGATTTTGTATTTAGATAGCTGTTTTTGGTAGAATTGTAATTAAAATTGTTTTATTTCCCCATGTAATGCACAGCATGATGAGTTTTAAGAAAAAGCTACGCCAAAGAAGCACAAATACAGGAGCATGCACATTTAATAAATAGATATCTCGAAATTTATATTTAAATTGAAATGCAATTATGTGTTAGATGTAACTGTAATTCTACTCTTTTGCTTTTAAAAACCTCGAGAAATTACGAGAAGCTTCTCGTGACTGATTAAAAAGCTTATAAAAGCCGGAGAAAAACATCTCAGTTCAGTTGTTTACCAAGTTGTTGTGGTTTACTTTGCTGCTGTAATTTTGAGATCAGATTAGCTTTCTCTGCACTTCGAATTCTATTTAACGTTTTAGTAGTTTAATGTATAACTACTGTGTGATATTGTACGAATATCTGCGAGACAAAATTTCAGCATTTGTTTTATTTCTTGTGATAAGAATAAATTCATCAGACTTGTGTATTCAATCTGTTAAGAACACGTATGCACGCAACAATGTGCATTCATATATTATGACGCTATGTGTCATCTGAAAATAAATCTATTCAGTTTTATTCAGTAACTGAGGAACTAGCTCTTTTTTCAGGTAATATTAATTTTGCACACCAATATATATGAAAAATTACAGGGGACTTTACTTTAAATAATAATTTTAATTTCCCTATCTTGTAAAAATCAAGACATGAAAAAATAAAATATAACTGCAAAGAACACTATAATAAATAACAATTTTTCTCCCCAACTCATAAAAATCGAGATATATGAAAAAAATAAAATATAAATTGATGAAATTTCCATACAGCATTTTTAATGTTATTTAAAATAAATGCACACTGAAGTCACAATTTGAAGCATAGCATGTGCATAGCACTTATCAGAAAAGTGATGTGATTTATTTTTTGATACATTTAATTGCATATTATAATGCATTTCATTAATTATAACTGTTTTTTAATTTTGAAGAGGGGGAGGCTTTATAGTAATTTTCCATTACTACTTCCATATAACTAAGTCCAAAAATTCAAGAAATTTTGTTGAAATTATAATTTTAATAAAACTGCTTCTTGATGTGCTTCCTTCCCAACCTGACAGAATAACTAACATTATTTAGAGGTACAAAGAGAGGTAAAGTAAAAATTCTACTAACTTTTATAAAAGAAATTTCATAAAACTCTAAACTGGTTTTCTTTCATCTATTCTCATATAAAATTCTTATTTCTTCATGTAATTTTTATTACTATTGTTCTTCAAAATGAATTTGTATTACACTGTGATTTACAGATATAGTACATTATGTACAAACTGTTATCAACAGTAGGAAAGAGAAATACTTGCCTCGCAAAAAATGAAATGGAAGTATAAGCTAAAATATAATCTTTTAATATTAATGTGAAATCAATTAAAAAATATGTAAAGGTACAACAGCCACATGATACAGATTTTAACATTTGAGAAAAATCAAACATTTGAAAGTTTTAGATGATAAAATTTGTTGTTTTACCTCTATAAAGAATCAAAAGCTTACATTAACAATTTGTATAATTTCTCATCATGTATAAAGGGATCAGTTTATTGTTATAAAATTGTTAAACTTTTTATGTGTTATCTAATTTACTTCTTCAAAGTCTGTGTACCACAATTAAATCACATAATTAGAACTATATTTACTTTTATTTTTCATGAAGTTGTCTTCCAATTAAAATTGGCATCCAGCAATATGGTTTAAACTACAGCAGAAGATTAACTTTTTTTTTAGTTATGTAGTTCAATTATTGCTAAAGACATTTTCTCCCTTATTTTCAAAAGATAAAAATTAAAATTATAAATAATTACAACAATCTAAAACCCATATGCTTTTCTAAACAGTTTTGATGTAAAATTTTAAATGCTTATAGAAGTTTAATTCTTCATTAAAATTATTTTTTGTAATTATGAAATTCTTTTACAAACTGACAATTTATTGTTGTATTGTTCATGTAAAATATTCACAAACTAATTCAAAAAGAAAATTAATATTTATATTTTGTTCATGCAAATTAAATATTTCTACAGACAAAAAATTGTTTCAAGAAACAAATAAAATTTCAAAGAATTAACAAGCAACAAATCTTCATATGCACAGATCCATGTATCATATCCAGTAACAACTATTTGTTACCTATTTCACGAAAGCAAAATATACTGTTTGCTCAAAATATATGCAATTTACAATAATTCGATAAATTTAGACATATCAATAAGGTTTTACACAATTGTTACATAAATTTATGCAAATGAACGTCATGCATAAATATATACACATACAGCTTACAATAAATAAAGTGTGTAAAATTTTCTAAATCTTATGTAAGTCTCAAAAATAAGTACACATATATAAAACAGTTTCTAAGCTCAAATATAAAATGGTTAATGAATCTAAGCTTTCAAGAATTCTAAAAGTACAATGCTTCCTAAATTGTGATTTGAGGAATGTCACAGCTGAAATACAAATTTTTAAAATACCCAGTATATATTCTGGTTACATAAGATAAAGTCTCTCTATAATATGATTTAATAATATAGTATCACAAAACTGCATATTAATTTACGGATATCAAGTGCTCCACAGTCATCTAAGATGAAAATAAAGACTGATAACACATAAAATGGAATGATATAGGTAAAGGTGAATTATTTAAAATTAATCAGGAGGTCTTTAAAAATGCAAATTAAATTCCAAGTACAAAAAAAATAAGTTAAAAAAAATAAGCACGCATGCATCATTTTGACGATAGTTTATGCAAATTGAACTAAGTCTGCATGTAACTGATAAATTATGAAAGACAAAATCTGTTATCATCATTATAATTTAACAATTGTAAAATTTTCGCAGATACATACTTCATACCCCCCCCCCAAAAAGAGGAAGAAGAAGAGACATATGGTAAAGCACGATGCATAAATTTCGAATTGTATGCCATATCCAACGGAACCTCTAACTTCAAATCAAAAAATGTCAGTGTATATACATACACACTAAACTTAGAAAAAATAATTTAATAAGAAAGACTATCATTCTTTGCTAGCATAAATATATAAAATCATAGATATTAAAATATTTTTATATGTACTGTTTTAATTTTTATATATGTTACCATGAAAGACCGAAATTGGGAAATGTCGACATTCACCCGTGAATGTCAACAGATACCAAATATGTCAGAGAAAAACTGAATATTTCATTATATTCTCGTACATTCGGACAATCACAGATACATTGTGGTGGAGGTTGAAAAGAGAAGTCAAGGTCAATAGAGGTTTGACAGTCTGTCACCAAATCTTTCGTTCTGCTGCAATTGAAGTTATTGGCATGTATTTGTTATACTCTGGAACACTGTTTGTCAGTCTTATGCAAGGTTTGATGGTATGCACAATGTTTTCTTAAATTTTGTTTTTTTATTTGATACCTTAATTTATATTGAATGGATACTGCAGTAAATCACGAACTCTTCTTTGAAAAGTTAAATGCATTGATTGCGAGTAAACAAGAAGACAACTGTTTTTATTTTTCACAAGAAAAGTACTCTAAAATTCTTTCTGGAGTTATTTCTGCGAAAACTAAGTGCAGCACACTTTTGGATTACAGATGATTAAAATGCTTTAAAAATTAATGATGAAGAAAAATTAATTGTACCCTTAAAACCAGGAGAAACAAATATCCAGTATTATGTTACTAATAATAAATTGTACAGCATACTATTTCAAATTCTCACTGGAATAGGCCACGAAGGAAGAACACATATGCTTAAAGATTTGCAAGGTAAATACAAAAATATTACATATGAAGTTGTAATGTTGTAGTCAAATTTATATAAACAAAACTCAAGATGTCAAGTTAATCTGATATAACTGCAGTGACACAGGGATAGCGAATATAAGTCATAATGGTGAATCAAGATCATTTAACTAAGTTTGTCCAGCTATGATCATTGAAAACTAAGACAGATCAAGAAGTAGCGTATCATCATCTTCAAATATTTTTAACATTTGGTGCTTTTGTTATATTGCATTCAGATAAAAGTAGGAAATTCAGTAACCAAGTCATATCCAAATTATGTGCTATGAGGAAAGATGTTAAGATAGTTAATGGAAAGCCTTGTCATAGTCAAACATAAGGCTCAGTTGAAAGGCTAATCAGGATACACAGAATATGTTAACTGCATGGATGAACGATAATGACATAAATAAATGGTCAGATGGTTTGACATATCATGAAGGAATATGCCAAAATCCTTATGAAGCCATTTTTGGCATTAAACCAAGAAGAGGCATAGCATCGTCTTTTTTTTCGTGGCGAACAAATCGCAATTATTGAAACCGAAGAACAACTCGAAGAAATTGCTAATACTTTTGAAACTGAAGATCAGCTTGAAAAAACTGTTAATACTTTTGAAGAAAATTTGAGCAATGGCCATATCAAAAACCATAATCCAAAGCAAAATATTGAAGAGGACTTGCAACCTACCATGTCTTCATATCAAGCCCTGACTGAACAACATGAGTTTATTTTTATAAAAAGATCGTTCACGAAAGAAAATCTACTGCAAAGCAACAAAAATGCTACAAATTAAAAAATTTTTTTTTCCTCCTGCTCAAATTGGTGATACCATACGAACACAAGTCTTTGATTTAGACTGTGGTCGTACAGATGGCCAAAATGTGTTGCCAGTTGTTGGAATAAAAGACTCTGACTTTCATAAACTAGCAAATAAAAATGGCACTATCAAGCAGCTTTACACCTGTAATCAATTTGTAATTTGTAAAGAAAAGTTACTTTCCATATACAAGATTTCTTCTCAAGAAATGTCGCTGAGAGAAGCAGCTGCAGCTAATTTGAGAAGTGGAAGGCAAGGGTATACACGATGTCATTGCAAAAGGAAGTTTTCCACAACTAAATGCAGTTGTAAAAAGTAAGGGACTCTTGTGAAATTCAAAAGGTCATAAAAGTTCTTGCAATAAATAAGATTTCAATCACATAATTAAGTTCTTTTTTTATTATTATTACTTTCTTTTTCTCATTTAGAATGTACTGTTTAAATTCAAAAGTTTATTTACATGTGCTACTACTTAAGCATTTTCATATTTCACATATATGGTATAAATGCAAAAGTAAAAAATAAAGTTCTTTAATGGATAAATTTAAAACTAAATACTTAACATTTATCTAAACACAACTGCTGTCATTATTAAGAAGGCAAGTAATACAGAGTAGCCCTTCTCATTTAGAATCTAAAGCTACGTGTTGCACAGTGAAAATGCCTTTACAGAGTTATGAACAACTATCCTCACCGGAACTCATTACTCCTCTCAGTAAGACAGGTGAAAAATTTACATCACCCTTATGAAGTTTTATCCCACCTGAAATACAGAGAACAAAATGCAAATCTCTGACATATTCAACATTTACCATTAGTGCATGGTGAATGTCGACATTTGCAGGTGTAAGTCAGAAATAAGGATATTTGGCAAACATTTTAGACATACACCAAGCGACTATGTGAATGTTGACATTTATGTCGACATTCACCAAATTTTGGTCTTTCACAGTAACATATATAACATACAAAGTACCAGTAATTTTTTTTTAATGGTAGGTAATTTAATGCAGAAATTTAAAAACTGCATAAAAATCAAAAATAAAAATAATAAAGGATTCAAGTGTAAAATGAAACTTTAAAACATGGCATTAATTTATTTTAATAAATACGTATTCTCTCATTTCCAAGTTGAACATAATGCAACTGTAAATAATACTTAATATATATCATTTAGGAAATAAATATGGAATGCATGGGAAGATAATATTTTAAAATATAAAACACTAAATTTTTAACAATTTAAATCAAAATTCCCATTAAAGGGTTTTAAAATTGCGCTTCATTCAGGAATTTGATGCAAATCATTTGAATATGGAAAAATTAATTAGTACAGAATGCAAAATACATCACATTGAGCATACTACATATTACAAAGGATATGCAGATTTTAAGTTAAAAAAGGAATGTTCCATCCTGAAGCAAGATACAATATATATATATATAGTAAGTAATGAACACCATTTGGCTAGAACAAATGACCAATCACATTAATTATAAATAAACAAGTTAGACAAATAAACTGGGAATAAAAACAAAAATAGTCTATATGGATTAAACACACAAAAATCAGAGCACAAACAATTTACATTACGATAAATGTTACTGGTTATTAAATCAAATGTGTCATGCTAAACTTTTGTTTTTAAACCTTATTCACAATCCAACTATTGTACATACTCCCAATATTTCTACCGCTCACATACTTTCCAGTATACCGTTTAGAAATTTTTAATGAAAAAGGAATTGGCTAATAAGGCAGGTACACTGTGTAAGTAAAAATAAAAAATAAATAAATAAAATAAAAATAACATATTCAATTTAATAATTGTAACTGTAATAAAATGTAGAATATAGCCATTTTTAGCAAATTTGTTTATAATATGCTCTTAGCATACTCAGTCTCCCCCATTTAACATTTCCCTTAAAAATGATATACTATATTGCAAAATTTTGTCCTCTATATTTTCAAAATGTACAATTTGTAAAGGAAAGGGAGAAACAGCAGACTAAATACCATATTTCATTTGCAATACATATCCAACTGTATGATGTGATCTTAAAAATTATTCTAACAAAATAGTACAAAAATAAAATTTTGTTCTTATTTACATAAAAGTTCATGTTATACATCTTAATCACCCCCCCCAAAAAAAACATTATGTAAGTAAAAATAATAATTATTATTATTATTAAAAAGAATCAAATATTCCACAGATAAATTTATGTTATCAATCTCACTGTGTACTTGTCACATTATACTCAGCAATTATTTTTTCTTATAAAAATCAACATACATTATCATATTAAAATATAAAAACATGAATCTATACATTTACATGCTCGAGTATAACTGACAACTTCCACAAACAGTTTTCAAGTTATTTTAAATATTACACTTGTAAATATCCTTATAACAAAATAACATGCATTGAAATACAAATTAACACAAAATATATTGCAGATAAAGATGGCTACATTATGTGATTAACAGTTAATACCAGATGCAAATAAAAGTCACAGAACTAACAGACTATTAAATGCTCAACAATAAATGCAAAAACAGTTAAAAGAATTTATAGAACATCAAATAAACACAGTAACTAAAACACATATATCACATATTCTGAAACTAGTAGGTTAAGCAAAAGGAGTCCAAATAATTATATATAATATATATATAATTATTGGACTCCTTTTGCTTATATATATATATATATATATATATATAAAAAAGAGATTTCATAACCATAACTACTAAATGTGACACACAATTTTAATGAACTGAACCCTTGAGTGACCATTTTTAACTAGTCACGACATTATTTGTTAATTGGTAAATATTAGATTATAATTTAAAACATTCTACTCTCCTTCTTTCTTTAATAATGTAAATATCACCTTAATGAATGGAAATTTATGAAACAAGGGCTAAAATACATAATTATAAAATTTAGCTAATAGAAGCTGTTTAAAACAGGTCTTCAAGAGCAAATTTAAAAAGCCATGAAACTCAAAGGGTTAATTACATAGTTAACACATAGTGTTTACTATTCAAAATTAATGTGTTTACTATTCAAAATTAAGTATCATTATAAGCATCCAGAACACATCAACAAATGAGAAAGTAATTTTGCTGAACTGTAATTATATTTATGAAGTTCTCAAAATTATATTTGTTTTACAGAAGAAAACTTTACATGTTAACAATAAATTTAAATAATTACATGTGAAATCTTTATAAATCTATAGACCAGGATTTTGAAACTTACCCCCCTCCCATGTACCACTTTCATCACTGCTAATAAATAAGTATAGATTTAGATGATTTTTCAATGTGTTTAATAAATTAAACAATGGTTTTCATGTAGGAAAACCATTGTTTAATTTATTAAAATACATGTAGGAAAACCATTGTTTAATTTATTTATTATTTCCTACATAATTTATTAATTTATTATTTCCTACATAATTTATTAAAATCATGTAGGAAAACCATTGTTTAATTTATTAAATACACATATTCATACATGGTTTTCATGTAGGAAATGTTGATTAATAACAAAACTTGAATACAAGTAGTTTTTTTATATTCATAAACTAAAGCTAAATACTTAGCAGATAAAGAAAAGGCTGACCACATTCCTCCCCTGAAACTATGAAACTCCCATGGCTACAGACAGTAACAAAGAATTGTGTAAAATTAATAAGTGCAACAAATATCAATAATTCCTTAATACAAAAATTTAATATACAGAATAATTTTTTAACCTTATACTTCTAATTTATTTTTAATTTATTGCACACATGAAATTTTACATTGTGAAAGAGGAAAAAGTAATAGTAATACTAAAAATAATTTCTTAATTCTTCAAAAATATATCACATGAAAAAAAAAATTGAATTATATTAAACAAAATATAGAGAAAATTAGTAAGAAGTTAGTGTATCATTTGAGATATTTCAAATTTGATATTTTTGCAGGAATTACTTGTAAATAAATTATTTAACATTGCTTGATTATAAATTAAATTTTAAAATTATATAAAATCTGATTCAATCAAAACAAAAATGCACAATAAAATAAAAATGTTTAAAAGACACTGCAACTGAAGTCCACAGTAAATATTTTATATTTTAGAAAACACTGCAGGAGCTATCAGCAATAAGTGAAGTTGGCCAATTTTTAAATGCTACACAGAATACAATTTTGTTTTAGAGGTATCACATAATAATCCATTGTATGTAAACAACAGCTTATATATTTACCATTTTGTTAAGTACTGCATACTTCACTTGCTATAGAAATCATCTAATGTTATGCATTAAAATAAAATTGAAATAAGTTACAGCAATATGTGCATAGCACATTAAAAATTATTCTATTAGTGTCTTAGCAAAGTTATTATGGCACCTACACAAATCTGATCATACTAACTCCAAAAAAATGTAACTTTTTTTTTTCCACAGCATTTACCTATACAAGTGACAAAACTTAAAATATATACAATCTGTTACAGAATATTTGCGTATAATCCAATACTTTTCTAGAAAAGTTACTTCATTTAACAGTTTCTTGTCATAAATTAAATGCAATTCTAAATTTAATCTCATTACAATGAGCTCACACTCAGAGCCAGAAGACAGTTGTACAATATCATACATAATTTATCTAATAGCTCTTAAATACATATTTATAGTCATATAATATATTTGTATATATGCAACAGAAAATAAATAAAAAATTCTACAGCATCAATGTCATGACATAAATGCTCCAGGAAAGCACTAGTGCTTCAAATGCAGCTTTTCATAACTAAATCTCTCCAGAGTGTCTCCCAAGAGTAGAATTGCCCAGAGGTGATAGATTAAGTATTCCAAGCAAGTATTAAACACGTTTGGAAAATTTTAAATAATTCCAATTATAGTTATTTTAAATTCCTAAAGGCACATACATACCATGATAATTAATTAAATTTAGAATCAGAACACAAGAGAAAAAAAATAAATATATTTCTTCCTTTATAAGAATTGACAACTAGATTATGTTTTATGTGCAAACAGGATACCATACCAAACACTAGACAAAGGAAACCAATTTCACATGCAAGAGTGCAAATTAATATTGCATGGGAACTTGGAAAATCCTTACATTTATTACAACTTCACCCCTGGGTAATCCATTTTATCTGATCTTGATGCATTTCTTGAATTTTTCGGAGGGCACCTCAGACTTTTCGGAGGACATGATGCAAGTCCAAGATTTCAGGTATAACAATATCTTCCAACTGGATGTTGGATGGGTTGAATGGAAATCGAATTGGGAAGGCATATTTTGTGTCCATAAGCAATGTGCTGGGTCCTGCCACTGGACCATGACCAGCAGCAGCACGTTCTTCATCACGCTTTTGGAGGCAGGCTTGCATTTTACGTATAAATGAAACAGGAACACGTTCTTCATAATCATCAGCAGGAGTATAAAGATTTAAAATTTTGATAATCTAAAAGCAAGAAAATAATATTCTTAATACTTTTTAATGGTTGGATGATTAATATAATCATGCATGAACAAAAAACTATGTAAATAAAAATAATATTGCAATAACAATAAAGTTGTTGGGCAAAGTAAGCATGTTCATTAAATATTTTATGCTATCAGATACTTTGAATTCCTTTCATTTGCGTTACTATACAAGAGAATATCTACAGATTATTTATGCAGATAAGCATTTTACATAAAACTATAACCAAATACATATTATTTGCACGCAGTTAAACATATAATGATCTCTAAAAGTACAGAATAGCAATACACAACCCATGACATTTACTGCAACTGAAAGGATATTTTTACAAATTAAAGAAAAGAACATAATTGGATAAGAAACCCTTTTACATCCCAAAATCTTGTGAACTGATCAAATAAGAGGAGTATGAAGATTTGAACATACACACAACATACCAAAATAAAAGAGATTTGTTAGTCAAGTTCATATAAAAATTGAATATAGTCTTAAAAAAGAAAGAAAGAAAGAAAGAAAGAGTTGAGAACTCAGTGTTGTGAACGTATAATAAAAGTACTTAATGTGCTGCAATCATGAAAATAACATTATTAGGGAGGAAAAAAACTATAACCTTTGATAAAGTTTCATTGTTAAAATTCCTTTATAATTACCGTTAGTGAGTAGATGCAGCCTAAAATTACACATAGTAATAGAAAGGAAAGGTTTAAAAATCTTAGCATTAACATAAAAGAGAAAAGACACAGAAGAATTCAAACAATATAAAAATTGAAAAACTTACTTCAAGGCTTATATGCCTGAGGAAATGGAACAGTACATGCATATGTGCAAAGGACCTATCATTTCTAAATGTTTATTACCCTATTTTTAGACTGCTAAATTTTCTCCATTCAATTCTTTTAAAATTTACTCTCAAGATGGAGTTCCTTGTTATTTTTTCAACATTCCTGGCATTAACCCTCTCGCTGCGCATCCTGCGATTTCCACGGGCAACGTAGAAGTAGCAAAATTTGTGCAACCTGCGATTTCTGTGGGAATGAATTTTTGTCGTGTTTTTAACTGTGCAATCCGCTCTTTCTCCGTTCAAGGTTTCCTTTTGGCATTTCTGTGATGTTCAATTGTTTATTTAGATGTGGGCTAACAGATGGCGTTAGTTGTCCACATTTCTGCCAAATATACAAGAATACATAATGTAGCATTTTGTGCATGCTTTTCAGAGCTCAAAGATGTCTGGCAGGAAGCGTTTCGCATGTGCTATAACCTATATTCCTGATGATATTTCCGACATTGATAGTAGTTCTGACTCTGATTTCAAGTATATTGAAGATAGTTATTGCGAAACTGATGAGAATTTCTCGGATTCCTCTGCAGAGAGTGATGAATCTGAAAATTCAGTTTCTATTGAAAACGTTCAACAGTGGTGCAAAATTGATATGCAAAATATTACATTATGCAAATATTTTCATTAGTATATATGTTTTACCTTTGTATTTTATAAAATAAATCATAATTTCACCAATATTAATTTTCAAAATTTTCCTTTTATATCATTATTCTTCAATTTCAGTATTCTGACAACCTTTTTCTATGATCTAATTCTATACTGAAAGAAAACTCTTTTACAAAAAGTTTTCGTATATTTTAACTCTAAAATATACGTAGATTTGAAATATGTAATAAAAAATATATGCAATTTTTGAACCTATTTTGATTTTAAAAAGTACGCAATGAGAGGGTTAACAGCTTCACGGTGAGGGTCTTTCTTTCAAATAGATTGTTCCATTTTCCATGATATTTCAGATCTTCCAAGCCTTCAATAGTCTTATAGGCTTTCTTCTTTCCTTTATCAATATCTCTCCTTTCACTATTCTTCTCATCCTTGATATACTTGAGATGTTTGAAAATTAGGGACTTGCATGTTCATGTACATAAAACATTTTCCCCCGAAATTGCACTATTTTTTAATGAATATAACACTTTTACATATACTGGAAACAATTATATTCATAAAAATATGATAACATTGCTTTTTGTTAACAATAATTAAAAAATTCACTTATTTTACCTGTATTTTTAACAGATCTAATTACTTGTTAATAAATGAATATATTTACATACAGATAACTATTTCAAAATGTTTAAAATGTGCAGCTTACAAAGAAATGTACAATAATGATAATTAAAAAATAGAAATGACTGAATGTTTAAAATTTGAATTGAGGGGATGGAAAAAAGCTCAGAGAAATGTTTACAAATTACCTCGAATTTCTACAACTACTCAAAACGTTTCAGAAATTTTCATGTTGTAGCTTTAAACATATCAAACTGTGTGTGTATAAAAGATAATAATCTGATAATAATGGCCTTGACAATCAACCACCTTTTAGTTCAGGCAGCACCTTTAGAGTCATTAGACTTTTTCAATATCAGGGAAGTAAAGAAATCTGCAATACCCTTGCTGGGATGGATTTGAACTCTGGACCTCCCAAATATGTATCAAGCATGCTTCTAGTTACACCACGATGGCAGTCAGTAAAGAGAGAGAAAACACCTTGTATAATTCCATAGCTCTTGGCTAAGCTAACTCTGACAATTTAAGCAAATTGACAGGTATAAAAATAGCCTTCTTAACACACAGTAGGAATGGTTCTAATATTTCTCAGAAAAAGATTATAATCGTTTTGGACAAACATCACCTTGGATCTTTGATCATAAGGATGGAATTATGGACATGCCTCGTAGATGGAGTGAAGTCATAGATAATGTTTATCTAAACATGTTTAAGCAGCTTCTGAGAATATTTTAAATTAAAAAATGATATTTATATTGCCTCAAAATTTTCACAGGACATCCTAATATTAATAACATTTTAATTCCCATATTACTAAAATCATATTTAAAAAAAAAAAAAATTGTTGTAAATAATGCCTTTCATTTAAAAAAAATTGCAAAGAAATTCCTTTCAAAAAATCAATAAAACTAAAAATAAGAAATTATCATAATCACCTGAGAGGTAGTAAGCTTGTCGCACATATCAGAAACACTCTGCACATCTGCATCAGTTTTGCGAGCTTGCAGAAGTTGCGATGCTTGTACAATTGGAAGCAAAGTCTCTATTACCTCTGTGTATTGTATACGTAGATCCCTACACCATTGTTCTAAATGGCTTAGATTGTACCTAATTATTTTTAAAAGAAATAAGTTATATTATTAATCACAAGCAAACATAAAATGAAATATAAACAAAACACTAATACTTTTCCTATTTCAGAAACTTTTTCTTGACATTTTAATTAAAATTCTCAAAGTAATTTAATTACAATCCATGCATCTTATTTTAATAATGGTAATGCTTGTTAAATAATAAAAAATTAACGAGACTAAAAAAATCTAGCACATTTAGTACAATCTTAAAATGATGTGTTACAAAAAATTACATATAATACAACATAACAATAAAAAGGAGATCATAACAATTATACACACCAAACAAATATTCAAATGAATTTTAATCAACTGCTTAAGGGGACATTTGACATAAAAATTTATAAATTTTTGAATTTTCAAATTTGGGCTAAAAAAATAAAGTAGACTGAGATGAATCCAATAATATGTAATTTGTGCACGTTTCGAAATTTTAAGACAGAAATCTTCATTCCAAAAGTGCAAACAAGCATTAGTTAGCCCATAAGCCACACCAGTTTAAAAGAGACAGATGTTTGGTATGGTCACAATAAAGCTAGCTCTATTAGCTGGTAAAAAGTATGTTTATATAATATTTTTGTCAGAACCTGTTTTATAAGCTGTTAAAAGTGTGTTTAGAAGTCTCTCTGATACTAAAAACTACTATAAATTCATGGAAGAACTTAGAACCCGAATGAGAGTTTTAATAAATTGCATCCAGACCACACATACAAAAAACTGTTTTTGTGAGGGTCATCACCTTAAAATTAGGTTTGTTAGATGCGATAATATGTTTTAATGATTATGTATAAAGGTGCATTAAAGTAATGGAATCATTAAGAATACAACCAGGATTTTATATGGTAAAGTCTTTGCAAAGAATGCATTGGGATAGAATTCGTGAGGCTCATCTTGCTTACCAAAAGCTTTCTGAAATGGCCAGAAAGAAACATAAATTAATAAAACAGCTTGATGTAGAAATGTCAATTCAAGATGAATATGGTGCAGGAAAATATTAAAATGATTTTTTATAAATTATTAGCGTTTAATTGTTTTTTTTTTTTTTTCCAGTTTTCCTCAAAATGAGGTTTTTTTTTTTTTTTTTTTTTTTTTTTTTTTTTTTTAAATTTTTTGGTACATTTTTCTTGAAAGCAATTCAGCTTGGAAGGTTTAAATTTTCCTCAGTTGCTTATCTTAACTATTTCTTTCAAATTATGCAGGATATGAAATTTATGATCACTAGTTTTTAATATATTAAAAATTTGATAATATTTTTTTCCATGATTTTCAAAACATTTTACCAATTTATTTTTAATATTTTTTCTTTCTAAGTAAAATGTAAATTCTGCTTATTATTCTTAAATGATATGTTTTTAACCATCATGCAACATATGAAGAAGTCTGGTGCAGTATTTTTTAAGAAAAGTGTATCGAAATAGCACACTGTCACTAAAGATTCGTCAAAGGTAAGAGAAATATAACGGATGGTTTTTAAAAACATTAGTCTTTCTATTTATATTTTATGGGTTTAATATGATCTAAAATCTGTCTACTTTAAATGAAAAAAAGAATCTAGAGTATAAGTTTATTTTTTGAAAAGTTATACCCTAATAACTTTTGCTTCGAAATAGTTTCATTTCGCTTGTCACGATGTTGCATGTCCTCTTAATTAAATAATTTATTTAAAAGCAGCAATGCTGTTTGAACTACCACACATTTTGGCAAATTTTTATATGCAACTGCACTTTTTAATAGAATGAATTTTATTATCCAAAACATAATCTAAAAAGTTTCTTCAGTTTTTCATCTTTGAGTTTGTATGAAAAATTGTTTGTATACAAAAATAGTTAGATCAGGGATACTTGCATTCACATTTATTCAGCAACATCCATATTGAAAGTTGGCAAAATTATTTATTATTTTACTATGGCTTAGCAAATAAAAATAAGTATTTTTTACATATTTGCATATATTTCATATAAACTGAGATGAAACATGTTAGCATTTAATTTTGCTTATCAATATCAATCATGCCTTGATTATATCCAATAAAGCAAAGTCTGATAACACTTTTCCTGCCTCTACTTCGTTTCCTTTGTCTTTAATCCTTTTCACTTGAGTTAGCATTGTTCTCTTGTTTTTGAGGAAAAACTCTTGGTTACAGCAGACAATACGACACTCGAATTTTTAATTTATGCACTACACATGACTAACAGATTAAGTTCTATTCAAATTATAATGCACTAGGGAGTATTCCCTTGGGTTGTTTATCATATTGGCTGAGATCTATAATCTGATAGTCTCGGGCTATGGAGGTGTAAAATACACAAGCTTAGTTCCTGTTGTCTGAAAGGGTAGTGACTTCAGCCATCTGAGTGGGTGATAACAGCCCCTGAGATGAATTAAGTCCACCCCCTGAGAATGAGGTCTCTGGAAGCATGACAAATGTGACTAAAGAAATCTCTCTGGGAGCTTTGCAAGCTCACTCCTCCTGCCTAATACGAAGTTAAGCTATGGGGTAAGCCACATAGTGTGGTCAAATAATACTCATAGAATCCATATAAATACTATTATTACCACACCAGGAAGTACAATCTGATGTTTTTGCACTTCTCCTTTCCTTAGCATAATCTCCCTCTCACCTTGCATTGAGAGATTTTAAATGCCCTCATTCTGAAAAATTACTAATCAAACCTTGTCACGATTCGGATCAAGATTCAACAGCATGTACCGACACCATTGTTAACTACAATAACATCAGAAGGGGCAGACATTAAACCTTTGTTTATTTACTGATGGTACTTACAAATACTATTTGCTTGCTAATAGGCATCTACCTATGTAATTCTGATGAATCAATGCTTTGTACCAGCTAGATCATTGCAAGATAGAAGCAGGAAGTGAAAATTAATGACATGTTAAATTAAATATTTTTTTAGGATCTCTGCCAGCTTTCAAATTATTATATTCATAACAATATGCTAACACTGCTTTTTGTTTACAATAATAATAAAATTCAGTTATTTTACCTGTATTTTAAACAGATCTATTTTTTTGTTAATAAATGAATATATTTAAATACAGGTAAATATTTCAAAATGTTTAAAATTTGAAGCTTATGAAGAAATGTACACTAGTGATAATTTGGAAATAAAAACTCTTCCACAAATTTAAGTTGAATGCAAGAATATGTAAAAATTATAAGTGTATCACATTTAATGTATATTAACACATGCTAAATTAGATTTACCTTATTTGCATACCCTTTGACCAATGGCACATGTCTTTACGTAATAGTAAATTGTTCAGTGCTCCAGCACATACGAAGTAGAAAAGCTGTAAATATGAAATAAAAAAGAGGAAATGATAAGTTAAAAAAGAATAATTTAGAGGACACACTGATATGAAAAACAAAGTAAAAATATAAATAATCTGTTCATAAGCAAACCTGTTTATAAACTTGAGTAATAAGTTCAGGATCAACACCATGGATGCTAAGAACTTTGAAGAAGGCCCCAAGCTAAAAAGAAAAGAAGAACCTTAAGAAACTTATTTAACATGCAACATAAAAAAAATGAATCAGAATTTCTTCGAGAACATCACCCTTGATCATACCTAATGGCAGCAATGACAACGCTTTGAATTTTACAAGTATTACACTTCAACTATACAAAATAAGCTATTAATGCATATAATTAAACAGTATCTAACTGAAAGAAAATGTTTGATAGGCAAAATTAAGATTGTAAATGACATTAAAACATGCTCTTAAGAAATATCTGACTGATTTTATATGAATGGTCATTTCACAGTAACATCTTAATGACATCATTTATAAGTTCCAGACAAAAATCACGACAAAGTTCATCATTTTCAGAAATTTATAAAAATTCAACAAAACAACATATTAAAAAAAAAAAAAAAAAAAAAAAAACTAAACAATTTAAGTATTTTCAAACTTAAATTACATGAATGCAGCATTTCTTTTATTTATTTTACCTCTACGAAAGATGCTTAAAAACAAACATTTGTTTTTTGTACATAACTAGGCCTATAATATTAACTGGAAATAAAATTCTGCAGTAAAATTTATAATTATTTTTAAGAATAATACACACATTATATCAATTATTTCATATAAAATGGGTTGATTATAATTCATTAATTGTTTAATGAATATCTTTTGACATACTGGGTATATCAACCACATCAAAATTTTCCTTTAGTGGTACATTAACTAATTAAAAATCTATACTATTAAAATCTGTGTCTGTCTATTTGTAACACCATCTCCTCCAGAACAGTGGAGAGTTTAGTTTCGAGAGAGGTAAACCCCCCCCCCATTCCAAAAATTTGTGGGAAGCCATTTCGACCAATCTCATCTTTGTACTATTTTAATCAGCCAAGATATTAATTAAAAACTCTGAAAATGCAGAACATTGGCAACAGAAAATTTATTTATGGATTGGTTGTTGTGGGTTGTATGACAGGTTATTTATTGATTGCTGAGGGTTGTTGCAAGATATTAAAAAATTATTTATGAATTGGTTGTTGCAGGTTTCATGTGATATTGATTTTTGATTGTTGCAAGATATAAACATTTTACCGACCGATCGGCTATTAAACAGCTTTTTCCCCGAACGCCTACCGACTCATAGCTTTGGTGGTCGTGTGTGCTTAATGCATGATATAATTAAAGAAAATAAGAATAGACAATCTCCTATAACAAAAGAATATATTAAATACTAAATTACAATTTAAATTACATTGCAGAGATCAACACAGAGCTCGGAACACAGTTCATGCTACCTTCGCGTACAGTTGTGTGACGAGAAGTCTGAGTGAGTAAAGATGTCGCTTTGCTGCTCCGATTAAGAACTGGATTTTACACGTGGCGCCATCTCATGAATAGAAGTTGAAGTATCTGTCGGAACGCCACAGTACTCCCCCCCCCCAAGTACCATCGGTACGTTATAAGTACTTTGGGTTAAATTTAACCTTTCTTCCAGATCTGGTAGTTTTAGGTTGCTCTTTAACGGGATGTAAGCTTTCTTCCGGGAGTGATGTTGATGAGGAAGTTGTTGGATCTTGCATTAGAAATGCTGGTTTGAGACGATCGATTCCAATCACTGATTGTTTGCCATTGCAGATGATGGTGAAATGTTTCGGTGTTCGTTTGACAACTTTGAATGGACCATCATATGAAGGTGTTAAAGTTGGCTTAATTGCATCGTTGCGCACGAATACGTGCGAAGATGTCTCAAGCGCAGGATGTACAAAATAGCTTGGCTGGTTATGCGAAGATGCTGGGGTTGGCGAGATATTGCTCATGGTCTCACGTAAACGTTGAAGGAATGTTGGAGGGTCGATAACTGGAGTAGATTCTGGGTGAAAGAATTCACCTGGCAGACGGAGGGTTGCACCATATAACATTTCAGCACAAGTGCTACCAATGTCTTCTTTGAATGCTGTGCGAAGACCAAGCAAGACTAGGGGTAAGGCTTCTGTCCAGTGTGTGCTACTGTGGCACTTCAGACCTTGTTTGAGAGATCGGTGAAAGCGTTCCACCATCCCATTTCCAGATGGATGGTATGGTGTTGTGCGAATATGGCGAATGCCAAGAAGAGAGGTGAGGGATGCGAACAAGTGACATTGAAATTGTCGGCCTTGGTCAGTAGTGATGGTGGTAGGCATGCCAAATCTTGAAAGCCACTGGGAGATGAATGCTCGAGCTACAGTTTCAGCGGATATATTTTTCAATAGGAATGGCTTCAGGCCATCTTGTGTACCGATCAATACAAGTGAGGAGGTAAGTGTAACCATTTGAAGGAGGCAATGGGCCAACCAAGTCTAAGTGCACATGATCAAAGCGTCTTGCTGGAAGGTTAAATTGTTGAATGGGGCTGTGAGTGTGACGGGATACTTTACACCGTTGACATCTAATACATGAACGAGTCCATTCTGTGATGTCTTGATTCATTGCTGGCCAGACAAATCTGTCTGCGATCAGCTTTTTGGTGGCACGGATTCCAGGATGTGCCAAATTGTGCAAGGCATTAAACACTTCACGTCTAAAATTGACAGGAATATAGGGACGTATTCTATTGTTCTCTATGTCACAGTAAATTTTAAGCGTTGGATCAATGTGCAGCGGTTGTAACTGAAGGGAGGTTTGTGGATTTGAGATTAGGTTCTTGAGTTCCTCATCATGCAATTGAGCTTTTGCAATTTCAGAGAAATCTGGGGTAGTGAGGTTGATATTGTTTACCCGAGACAAGGCATCAGCGACACAATTATCAGTACCAGAGACATATCTGATATCTGTACTAAACTGGGCGATGAAATCCAGATGTCGAAGCTGACGAGGAGAACATGAGTCAGAGTTTTTTCTAAAAGCGAAGGTTAATGGTCGATGATCGGTGAAAATGATGAAGTCGTGTCCTTCCAAGTTGTGCCGGAAGTATTTAACAGCACAGTACACAGCAAGTAGCTCTCTGTCATATGTGCTGTATTTCCTTTCTGCAGTAGTAAGTTTCTGCAGTAGTTTTGGAAAAGAATGCCATTGGGGAAAGTCCTTTAGTGGTATGGGCTTGAAGCACTGCTCCTATGGCCGTGTCAGATGCATCTACCATTATAGAGAGCTGATCACTAGGTGAGTGATAAGAAAGTGTGGCTGCATTTGCCAGATCGTGTTTGCATTGCACGAATGCTGCAGATGCAGATTCAGTCCAAGGGACAGCTCGTTGATCGTTTTTTTTTTTTGCTATTCTTCAGAAACTCATGTAGGCAGGCTTGTGTTTTTGCGGCATTTGGCAGAAAGCGTCGGTAGAAATTTAACATTGCTAGAAAACGCTTCAGTTCAGAGATGGTTTTGGGCTGAGGTAGGTCGTTAATTGCTTTGACTCTTTCCGGTAAAGGTTTGACTCCATTCTGGGTGATAAGACATCCAAGAAAGGAAACTGAGGGTTGACCAAGTACACATTTGGATGGATTTAGTTTTAATCCATGATCTTTAAGGCGAGTGAAAATCTGACGCAGATGTTGAAAATGTTCTTCCGCATCTGTAGATGCAACCAGGATATCATCAAAATATGGGATGCAGAAATCGAGGCCAGACAGTACTTGGTGTATGAAACGCTGAAATGTTTGGCCAGCATTGCGAAGGCCAAATGGCATATATAAGTACTCAAAGAGACCAAATGGTGTAGTCACTGCGGTCTTGGGCACATCTTCAGCATGCACTGGGATCTGATGATATGCTCTGGCAAGATCGAGGGTAGAAAATATGTTTGTTCCATGAAAAAGATGGGTACAGTCTTGGATATGTGGGACTGGATATCTGTCAGGGACTGTGACGGCATTAAGTCGACGATAATCTCCACAAGGCCGCCAGTCACCATTAGACTTTTTAACCAAACCATGTGAAGTGGACTGGCCCATGGACTTTTAGATGGGCGAATGGTTCCCTGTGCTAGCATGAATTCAAACTCTTTGCGAGCAGCTTTTAGCATCTCTGGAGAAAGACGACGAGGCTTGGAAAATACAGGTGGGCCATGTGTTTCAATGTGATGATACACTTCTGGCTGATGAGTATGCTGCCCTGATTTGGATGGGTTTAAAATGTCAGGGAATTCTGCTAATAACCGATGAAACCGTGTGCTGCCCGATAAAACACTTATGTTGGTAGGTACGTTTGATACGTGAGAAGCTTGGCCCTGTGATGTCAGCTGAGTTGTAGCATCAATTAAGCAATTATTCTTGACATCCACTAGAAGGTGGAAATGTGTCAAGAAGTCGACACCAATAATTGCTTGAGTTACATCCGCAATAATAAAAGGCCAGTTGAAAGTCCGGCGCAAGTTTAAATCAAGTGTCAATAGTTTGGTGCCGTAGGTTGCAATTTGGGTACCATTGGCTGCATACAGTACAAGTTTATTAAGTTGGTGAGCATTTGTTTTAGTTCTCGGGAGCACTGATATGTCAGCTCCAGTATCTACTAGAAAACATAACTGAGTTGAACGATCAGCCAGTACTATTCTGTCGATGTGGCGGACATTCTGTTGGCCAGCAGAAGACCGCCCATTTAGTTTCCCGCTTGTACAAAAGTGCATGGAGGGGCACACTTGCGAGCTTGAGAGCCAAAATTCATATGATAAAAACATATGCCACTTGTGGGTTCTTTGTACTGCGTTCGAGTATTGACGAGATCGACTCCTGCTTCGGGCACGAAATTTATTACGTGGGCCCTGATTTGATCGATTGTATCTCCGTGAAGCATGAAGACTTGTAGAGAGTTCAGATACTTTTTTGGTCAATTCAGCCACTTGTTGTTCGAGGGATGAACTGGAAGGTGCAGCATTAGCAGCACTGACATAAGCTGGAGTAACAACAAGTTCATTAATTTTGTCAGCCATTGCTGCTAAACGGGTTAGATCTTCATTGGAAGCAGCAAGAATTATTTGTATGTTATTAGGGAGACGCGAAAGCCATAGTGACTTCAACAAGTCGTCACTAAAATGGCTTCCTGCCAGATCACGCATTCGTGACAGCAAGTATGAAGGTCGCTGATCTCCAAGTTCAAGTCCTTGTAGTAAAGTACGTATTTTTGAAGATTCACTTTCTGAATAGATTTCAATGAGCCGCTGTTTCAGTTTGGAGTATTTATCACAATCAGGTGGTTTGAGAATTAAGTCATGCACTGAATTCAGAATATCAGACTCAATTGCTGCAACTACATGGTTGAATTTTGTAGAATCCTCACTAATGCGAGCGATAGAAAATTGTGCTTCGATCTGAGCGAACCACAATGAAGGATTATTTTTCCAGAAAGGCGGTGGCTTCACCGCAACGCGTGTGATTTGTGGCTCTGGTGGAATATCGTCGGGCATACTGATAGATAATTTTCACTTTAATAATAATAAACACTTAACAGCACAAATATTGTAGCATGAAGATACACTATTGATATTTTACCATGATAACAATAAATATTTTAACCATGCAGAAAAAATTTACGTAACGATACACACACAAATAATACAGGGTCAGCAATTACACACACAAATAATATTTTACCGAAATGCATTTGAAAAGAAACCCCTATTTGAGAAAAAAAAAAATGATGCGTTCATTTTGTATTGCGCACACACAAAATCACCACTTCACACTGCTAAGGCACTTTCGAAGGAAAAAGGAAATCACTCCTGTAGCACATGGGAAAAAAATTCACTACTTTCGAACACTGAGGGAAGAATTTTGCCGTAGCACGTTGCAGAAAAATTACTGATGTAGCACATTTAGCGAAAATCACTATTGTATCACATTTGTCACAAAATTTGAATGATCGAAGAATTATTGCACGACTGGTGAAGTCAGCGGAACGGAACAGATCACACTGATGATTTGCTGAAGCTCCTTGCGATGATATGCACGAAGAAAAAAAAACAAGCAATATATATCAATACTTCTAGAAATAATTGAAGGGGTACGTTGTAGCATACGTTTAATGTCCATATTCGTTGTTATTTTTAGTCAGTTCTTCAGAATGCCTTGGATGCACGTGGCTTAGGGTCGTTGAAAATCCATTGTCAGTAGCGTGCTCAGTCAAAAGGTCACCACTTTTGGTGGTCGTGTGTGCTTAATGCATGATATAATTAAAGAAAATAAGAGTAGACAATCTCCTATAACAAAAGAATATATTAAGTACTAAATTACAATTTAAATTACATTGCAGAGATCAACACAGAGCTCGGAACACAGTTCATGCTACCTTCGCGTACAGTTGTGTGACGAGAAGTCTGAGTGAGTAAAGATGTCGCTTTGCTGCTCCGATTAAGAACTGGATTTTACACGTGGCGCCATCTCATGAATAGAAGTTGAAGTATCTGTCGGAACGCCACATAGCCTATTAATTGGCTTTTTATCCTGAACATCTACCAAACGATAGCCTATTAATCAATTTTTTTTACCAACGCCACCGATAGCCTATTAATAGCTTTTTGCTCGGGGCTACTTAAAAATAGCCTATAAATCGGTAGCCATGGCAATAAACAATTGCTTTTTTTCTATATCATGTGCATTTTATTATTAGGGAGAATCTGTGGCTGAGCGACCGGTTGGACATGCGTATGCTGTTGAACCACTAGCAGTTGGTAAAGTATTAATTAAAAACACTGAAAACGCTAATTTGTTAACAAAAAAATTATTTACAAATTGGTGCTTGCTTGAAAAGGCAGTTAGTTGAACAATAACTGAATAATATTTGCTGTAACACTTCACTTACTTCATGTAGCAAACTGTCAAGAGCTCTTTGAGGATCTACAGGAGATTCAATTTCTCTAGCAACACTAGATGATC